AGGCCTGTATGTGGCACACCATCCACCCTATCCTGCCCACGTCCAGCGCGGGTCGAACCTGGACAGTGTGTCCCCATGGGCCCCAACGCGGCAGTGAGGCGAAGCTCCTAATCACACCAACACACTCAATCCAAGCCCAACCTCCGCGGGACTCGAACTGTGAACGTGCAAACAGGTCAGCCACAGACGGCCACAACGAAGCAGTCCAACCGAGTAGGTACGTCTTGTCGTGTGAAGTTCGAGTCCACCTCGTGACGGGGGATTCGGTGTCGTCGCCTTCGTGCAACCGATCCCTTCGCCACAATTCCTGCCACCATCACAACGATCCCACCTGCCGACGGCGATTCGCCCATCCCAGTCAGGCCACACCTTGATCCTTACCTTAACATGCCTATGGTTGTGTGTGACTGTGTATATGTGTATGTATGCATATACATATGCGTGTGTGTGACTGCGTGAACAGTTATATATGTATCTATGCACGTATGTAAGTATGTATGCATTTTTGTATGCAGGTATGTATAAATATATATATATATATGTTTGTGTGTGTATGTGTGTGTGTGTGGATGTGATCAGTTTGTACCTTGGGGGTTTGGAGGGGGAGAAGAGAGGTACGGCCCTCATCGTGGCCCAAGACAGTCAGTCACCTGCAGTGAAATCACTTGATCGGCAACCAAATCGTTTGGACTTGGCTGAGCATAGAGACGAAAATGTCAGAGCAGAAAAACACAATCATTATGACTATATATTTGCAGTTTATTAGTCGGTTTTCGGGACTACCAGAAGATGTTGAATAAGCAACTGTATTCACCCTATTTCGTTGATGGTCATGAAGGAATGTTAGTTCAACTTTGCCACAATATGAGGAATGGACTTTGTGTTTCCAGTGGCTTGGTCTCATCCACAATCGAAGGAGGATTGTTAGGCTTTCTTCGCGTATCTACGGGACACACGAAAACTCAGGACTGCAGGACGGGGAGTCAAGAGCTTTTCCACACAATTCAATGGGCTTCACATAAAAAACACTCATTGTTCGGTTTCCGATGGGGCCAATTCATAAACCAAAATTGGGGTCACACCAAACGGAAATAATTGTCCTTCTTTGCGGCGATTGCACAGGCTTTTTAGGTTTAAAATGTTTGTGTGCCACTAAAGAACTACCTCTCTTCGCCTCCTCTAATTAATTATATTCATGAGGTGTATTCATTTTATTTTATTTGAGCCGATAAACAATTGATAGTTCCCTTTTTGCCAAAATCATGTGTGTTGGCCTCGTGTTTCTATTCAATTACACATAGTCTTGCTTCCATAAAACGAATTCTCATTCTGACTGTATGAAATAAACTTTTGACCTCGTCTGAGCTGGCATCACCGGCACTCCCAGCGGGACTCAAGCCAGGGTTGTAGTGATGCGATGTATCGCCATGAATATCCTTGATTTACAGGGAAGATGTGAATTTTTTGTTCTATCACAATCGACGCTGCATTACTCATTTCTATAAGATCCACTGCTAATCTTGAAGAGCTACGTATAAATGGAAAATAAATAATGTAGTGTCGAGTGCTGTAGCAAAATACAATGTTTTTCAGATACCAAGAGAAAATGGGTTTCGATGAATCTCCTGACATAACATTGTTGAGAGGACTTTAATTTCGTATGAAATAGCATGAAGAAGAGGACGTATGAATCGCGTTCAGGTTGACGCAGTCCACGAGACCTCCGCTCTGGTTTCGTGTGAAAACGGATTGAGGCACATCATCACAGTTGGGTGTCATGTCCTTGTGTTTGGTCGTATAACGTACCATCGAGGA